TTATATTACATGTATATATGTACATTACATGCATACATGTAATATAAGATATATTTATAAAATAATATTAAAATAATGACAGACATATGACAGAAAGAGACAGAGCAAGTGAGTATGATAAGGTAAAATGTTAATATTTACAGAACTTTGGTGATGATTATAAGGAACTCTGTATTTTTTATAACTTATCTCTAACTCTGAAATTATTTAAAAATAATTTCAAAATCCCCAAGTTAACCACACTTTTGTCTGACTTGGTTATAAGTCAGGGGTTCCTATAATTCCTATTTCATGTTTGATTATTTGCTAGAAATGTTTACAGAACTAAAGGAAACACTGCTCAATGTCTTGTATATTGTAAAGGTCATTATAGAAGATACCAAAGAACAGATAGTGAGGTCTAGGAGGTTCTGTGTCCTTCAGCCTGGGACATAGTGCTGTGATAAAAAGAGAATATACAAGAACTTGCAGAAGCCCAAAGTAGCTTCTTGAAAGCTGATATAAGGTATGATAAAAGAAAAGTCTCAAGATGTTCTAAATTTAATTTCAAAGGATGGGTTGTGGGAAGAAAAAGAGTTGAGGAAGACTTAATCTGTGATCAATTACAGGCAAAAAGGAACTAGACTGGTTTATGCTCTTGAATATGAGTTACTGTTACTCAAGTCCTATGATGAGCCTCTAGATGCTGCTATATCCTGCTTGCAGCCCCATCCAATACAGAAACAAAAGAATCCCTTCTTGTCTGGTGTTCTCCTCCCCTGGCCTTCTCTGCCTTGGATAACTCTTTCAGTCTTATCAACAGCCAGGGAAGAGGCTAGGCAAATAATTTGTGCTTTCCTACTCCAAATTTTCATTTTAGCTCTGGGGGGTGTAGTTTAGTGGCAATATCTTGCAAGGCCTTGGGTTCTCTCCCAAAAATGTAAAGCAAAAGAAACAGTTTGAATATAAAGTATTCTGTATTAGCAGTAACTTGTCTCAGGGCCTGGTACTTTCATTTTCTGCCAAGTATCTACAATGGCTCAATAAACCTACTTTGTGTCAGGAGTTTCCGCTGAGCAAGTAGTAGCTGGGAGCACAGACCCTGGAGTGAGGCTGCCTAGATTCAAAGGTTAGTTCTGCTGGTTGATTGCTATGCACTTGGTCCATTAAAATTCTACATGCCTATTTCTTCTGTAAAATGGGGTAGTAATAATACCTATATTATGAAAAACATTCTCTGCACACAAGATTTCTAATACGAAATGTGTGGATTTTTCACACCAAGTAATTCTCCAGCTCTCAGCTTACCCCAAATGAATGTCTTAAAATTCAATTCAATCTGAATCCATTAGGAATTAGTACAAACTCCCCAGCTTAAGGGAGCAGTCTCACAAGATCACTCTCCATTTCAGATGCCAGACTCAAATATTGGTTCTTCAATTGGCTACGGATCAGGGATTCCCCCAACTCTCTCTTCATGTTTGGCGATTTGCTACAGTGGCTTGCTGAACTCAGAAAAACACTCTACTTGCTATTGCTGGTAGACATTAAAAAGGATACAAGCGAGCAGCCAGGTGAAGATGTGCAAGAGGAAGACCTGGAAAGTGCCCAGTCCAGAAGCTTCTGTCCTTGTGGAGCCAGAGCACACTATCCTCCCAGAAAGTGGATGCTTTAACCAACCCACAGACTCTCTGAACCCCTTCATTTAGTGTTTTTGTACAGATTTCAATACATAGGCACAATTGATTCAATCATTACCACTGGAGATTAACTCTATGCCCACTCTCTTCTCCTGGAGGTTTGGGGGTGGTGCTGATAGTTCCAGCCATATGATTGGTTCCTGTGGTAGCTGGATTTGGTCTTCCAAGAGTCATCATTAGCTAAAATGTACCAATAAACTCAATGAGGGGAAAAAAAGGAGTCATCATTAGCACAAACACAGGGAAGGCTGAAAGGAGCTTCTATGCATAACAAACGATGATCCTCTATCAACTAGGAAATTCCAAATGTTTTAGAAGCACTTGCTTTGGGAACAGGGACCAAAGTCAAATACTACAACAAGAGATATATCTGCCACCTCATCACTCAGGGCTTTATAAGGATTTTAGGAGCTCTGTTCTGGAACAAGAAGCAGAGACCAAATACATATTTTTTACTCTGTCACCCTGCATCATGCAGTTGTGATGACTGAATGAGTTAATATATAAAACAATTGCTTTTGTGCCTGGCCCTCACATTAGCTGTTATTATAGTTATTTGTTTTGAATTCCCAGATCGGACATTGAAGTTTCCAAGAGTTAGGTGCTCAGGTGAGAAAAGTGCTGTTTGAATACAAACTTGTGGTTGTATGTACCAAATACTAAAGCTAGTAGATTTAAAGAGCATATCATAACCGTTAAGAGCTATGAAGCTGTGGTAAAAATAAAAGAAAAGCTTTAAATCACAAAATAAAGAAATTAAAACAAAACAAAACCTAAGTAGAAACTCAACAACCAAAAATATTGCTCCTTACTTTGAAGATGGTATTTGGAAAGAAGAGCCAGAGACCTCAGATGATGTGAATCTTTGCTTCTTGGCTGCTCATTTACCCATTTCTGGATTGAAAACCTTATGTCAGCAGTGATAATGATGAAGATATTCACAAGGCAATAACTACATGACAGATTTACCAAGTGTTTTACATGAATTATCTTTGCGTGGCAATTATTGCCTCTATTTTATATATGAGGACTTTGAAGCAGAAATAGTAAATTGCTCAGTTAGGTATTTAGTATGTGTTCAAGCAGCACTGGAATGCAGACAATACACTCCAGAGCCTGTCCCATCTCTGATGGCTTTTGAGATCAGAGGGAAGAATGACTCATTCCTTGCACCCCCACATGGAACTCTGTCAGGAGAGGAGCTGGACTGAATGTTCATGTGAGAGTTGGCCTCCAGGACGACCCCCAGCAATCTTTTGCTTCCGGTACTGACATCCTTGTATAGCTCCTTCAAGTGTGACCCACAGAATATGGCAGAAGTAATGAGAGATGACTTTTAAGGATTGATCATAAAAGACAATTTGGCTTCTTCTTTGTTCTGTTTCTCAGGTCACCAGCCCTGGAGGAAGCTGGCTATCACATCCTGGGAGCCTTCAGCAGCTCAACAGAGAGGCCAATGCAGTGAGAAACTTGACCTCAGTTCAACTCCTGTGAAGACTAAGTGAGCTTGGAGGTGGATCCTCCAGCTGCAGCCAAACTTTAAATAACTGCAGCTCTGACATCTTGATCGAAGCTTCATAAGATATGTGAGCTACAACCCAGCCAAGTTGCTTCTGAATTCCTGACTGGTGGAAACAGAGGAAATTCAGATTTGTTGTTTTAATCTCCTAAGAGTTGGGTAATATGTTGTACAGCAATAGATAACTAACATAGTTTAACAAAAGGTTGCTCTAATAGAAATGATGTGTGGCACATTTAGGTAAAGTGATAGAACTCCACTCTGGTTGCAATCAAACCTAAGAGAGGTCAGCACGGAGACACAGATCCTTCCTTTCCCACTTGCACATTACAAATATCTTATAAAATCTCCAGAACTTTATTCCAGGAAGAAGGGTCATACAAGGGAGAGAAGAGAAACCAGGGAGCCTTGTAAGAGACTGAATTTAAAGTGAAAGTGGCTAAGTTAACTTGAAATGATGAAAATGAATTGTGTTCCTCAGATAGAAACTGGGGGTTGAGGATAAATCAAGTTATAGAGAAACAGAAAGTTAAATACAGAATTTGGACCCTCAATATTTGCAGTTACAATCTTCACACTCATTTTTAATGATGGATAGAGACCTCTTCTAGAGTAAGATAAAATTAATCCATCAAAAGAAAATAATGACAATTTTCTTTTAGAGAGAAGATACAACCCTAAATTGTTTTGGGTATTTGGAAATAAATCTTTATGGAGTACAGGATCTCTTATATTGTATTAATTGTGTCAAATCCTCATGATACACTCCAAATATTCCAAGGAATGATTCTCTCTATTTTACAAATATTAAACCAATCCTCTTCTTACAACAAATCCATAGGGTGTTTATTACTATCAGCTCCATTCTAAAATCAAGGGTGGCAGACACTAAGGTACAGGAAAATTAAGCTAAGTGCTAAAGTTCTTATCTAGTCTGATTTGTATGTCTATGAACTTAATCATTCCTTCTCATGCTCCTAGAATGTGTCTTATATTTCTTCACATACATCCCCCTATTCCAGTGATTCAGATTGTGAGAGCGGTGACTAAGTTGGAAAAGTGTACGATTTGGAGGCAGAATTATGTGTTTTCTTCAGATGACAACAGATAGGAGCTTACTGGATGATTTCTAGAACGGAGCTAATTACACTCACCTGCCTGTCTAGATAATTATGAAGATTTTTCTGTTGTATCTGTGCTTCCCTTTAAAAGTGAATGGAGGACTGGGGATTTAACTCAGTGGTTCCACCTCCTGCTTTGCAAGCACTAGGTACTGAGTTCAATCCCTGGTACCACAAAAAAAAAAAGTGAATAGAATGGGATATCCTGGCTGTGGAGTATAAGACAGCACAGGTCTTTAAGGCCTGGCTTGTAAACATGTAATCGGAAGAGCTGGTGCTGTCTGAGAATCTAGAGCAGGTTTTAAATAGCTCACAGGGAGCTAAGCTGGTTTCTCCAAGGCCAAGTTATCAAAAATAGTTTCTTGGTTTGTGTGTATGTGACCTTCCCTGGTCACAGAGCCTGATCTCTGAAATGCCTTTGTCTGTCTCTGGATAGCAGGAAAAAGCAAACTCTGTCAGATATGAACTATGATTTAAATATCCAAACAATCTCAAATATGGTGCCGGAAGAGAGTCCTCTGAGGCCCATGAGAATCCATGAATTTCACAAAATCACTTTTCCTATTAACTACCTTAAAGAGAGCAAAACAGGATCTCTATGATCAGGTTGTCTCCTCACCAGAATATCACCCCAAAATAGAAATAACCCTAAACAGAGAGAAACTAAGAAGTCTGGGTGTCTGGGTTAATTTTCTCCTTGCTGAGACAAAATACCCAACACCCCAAGTTATGAGGAAAAGGTTTATTTGGCTTACAGTTCCTAGAGGTTTCAGTCATCAGCTGGCTCCAAGGCAGACAAATGGTAACAAAACAACAAAAGAACCAACCAGGGACCTTAATAGCTCCTTTCTGCCTCTCCTATCCCATCTATACCACCTAGGAAGGGTAGGCTCAAGGACACTAGAATTAAGGGTGTCAGTGCTACCCTCCCTAGAGTGCACCATGAATCAATCCCAGCATCACACACTTTAGATTTAGCCATCTGGAAAAGCCCCATCTCTTTTGCATGAGGCTTTGGGGGAATATCTAAACACAAGTTGTAACAGGGTGTATTCTATATATTATTTTAGAATCTTTGATATTGTTGATTAACTTGTTCTACCCAACTTGTCCAGAAATTTGCTGGAAAAATATTAGTACAATATGGTGGCTCCTCTGACCTCTCATTAGGCCTACAAAATAGATTCTAATACCTACAAAATCTATTTTATAAACTTTCCCCTGGGACCAACACCTGTATATGAAGCAAATGAGGAAGAATAAAAATGATTTCTATGCCAAGATATTTTCTTAAATGCTCATCTCATGGAAATATTGTGAAACATGAACAATAATATAGTAAGACTAGGGGGCAAACATCTAAAGTAGTTAGGCAGCCAAATTTTGACAGTATTTTCTACTTAACATTCTTGTTACTTTGATATAGGAAAAAAGTATTGTTTAGTGTTCTTCTATGTGAAGGAATTTCTAAGTTCTAACCCAAACAAATTTTCTATGGTCACATGAAATACTTGGTCATGTTTGCTCTTCTAATGTCACTACTAAACAGCAAAGGATTTGAATTAATTTTTTAGGTGAGCTGGTTGCAATTCAACACACCTTATTTAGTTTATCCATGATTATAAGTCAATATTTATTCAAAGACTAGAATAAATAGTGTTATTTTCCTTAGAATAGCTATAGAAATAAAATAGCTATTTCTGGAAACTTTGCATTGCTTTTTTCCCATTACTTTAGCATAGGTAACTTGCTATGTGCTTTATTATGGCTCTTGCTGTCTTCCAAAGGCCTATGTGTTAAAGGCTTTGTCCCCAGCCTGGCACTGTTGAGAGGTGGTAAAATCCTTAAAAAGTTGGGATTTAATGAGAGACTTTAGGTCACTGTGCAGGGCAATGCTCCAAAGGGTACCAGATTCCAGCTTCTTTCTCTTCTTCTCACATCCAGCCATGACGTAAGCAGGCTTTTTCTGCCTCTACCATATTGTACTGCCAAAGATCCAAAGCAGTGGAGCCAGTTAATCATAGGTTGGCTCTTCGAAAACTGTGAGCTAAAATAAATCTTACCTCTTTTTAAGTTGATTTATCTTGGATAACTCAAGGCTGACTAGAATAATAGGCCTGTGTTTTTTAAATAAGGCAAAAACTTTTTTTATTTTATTTTTTCCAGTGTGAGGGATTGAACTCAGGACCCTGCACTTGCTAGGCAGGTATGGTGGTGCTGAGCTACATCCCCGGCCTCCAGAAAACATTTCAAAATTGTGCACTCTAGGCACTATTTACTCTACAAACTACTAGATCATTATAACTTTTGTTACATATGAATATCAATAACTATGGGTTCATTTCCACTGTGTTGAAGCCTTTCACAGTTACAACAATGGCCATTTCTGCTGATGTTAGTAAGCTTAATTCCTGATAAGATCATTCTGCTAGCCCAACTCATCTTTTTGATTAAGGTACAGAGAGCATAAGTCACTGAACTGTGTATCCATGGCCCAAGTTCCTATCCTGGAAGAGATAGATGTGGAGAGCGAGTGTGTTATAGTATGAGATGTATGTGTTATGATTTGGTGGATCTTTGGTTTTCCTTTTTTTTGAGACAGAATCTCATGTAGACCAGGCTAGTTTTGCTTTTGCCTTGTTTTCATTCACTATGTAGCTCAAGTTGCCTTCAAACTTTGATTCTCCTGCCTCAGCTTCCTAAATCCTGGAATTACAACCACCACACCTGACTGAGGTAGTGGAACTTTTTAAGAGGAGAGGCCTAGTAGGTGGTCATTTGGCTATGAAGACTCCACCTTTCATTACTGTACTAGTGCTGGTCTTGCAGATTAAAGTGAGCCTCACAGGAGTACAACAGTGGTTGTTCTAAAAAAACCTGCCTCCCCCTTTTGTGCACCCTTATTTGCCCATAGGCCCTTTGGGCCCGTGAGTATCTCTTTTCCTGCTTCTTTACCTTGTTAAAAACTGTCAGGGAGAATTTTGCCTCAGGTATTTTGCTACAGCTACATGAAAAGCACTAAGATTGGAATACCAGGTGTAACTGGCGTATTGCTCTTGGATGAAATACAAAATAAGAGCTTAAAGATTGTGCCAAATCCTATGATATCTGGTTCTTTTGAAATAAGTTCTCTACAGATTGTGATGAGCTCTCAAACTTGATGTATTTCATTAAAATGTTCTCAGGCGAAAGAATTAAAAACAGTTCTTGAAAACTATTGCTAATATTGTCTGGCTGACTCAACAATTTTTCCTACCCCTGTAGCTGGCTGAATTTTCTTGCTCTTTTAATAAAAGAAACACATGAGGCAGCACCAACACCCTCTCCTTCCTCTTGCTTTGGTTGTTGGCACCATGCCTGAAGCTCTTGTGCCATTGTGTCATTGTTAGGGACTGCGGTAGAGGTGAGCTGCTGAGTGATGTCTAGCTCAGCCTTCCGCTGTGCAAGAAAAAATTACTAATTTAAAAGAAAACTAGACTTCCTATCACTTGATTTGTACATTGTCCTAACAGATATGATTTTATATAGTTATATCAAGGATGGTATTGAAACTGGACAATGCCTCATTTTTCAAGGCAATGAAACATTTCAAGATTGAAAATGCATGTATTAATTTGCTGTCCCTATCTACAGCTACCATCTTTCTATCCAAGTCTAGTTATAATTATCAGCTCATATGAATTGGGCACACTGTAGTGTTTTATAAGTAGCTGTTTTATATTTTATGAATTCGTGTGGAGATATGATGTCTGGAGTATAAGCCATTATCTGAACTACATGTCACTGTTGTTAATTTTTGATCCAAATCAAATTCCT